TTTTTTATCTCTGCTGTAAATTTGCTGGGCTTATTACAACCTCACAAACCCCTATTTATTGTCATTTTCAGGGTTTATGTTGGGTCTTCTCTCCTTTTGCTGTATTTTTGCCCATTATCCAGTCAAATAGTCCTCGGTTTGGTGCTACCTCCTTCCATGGCATAGATGCTGAGGTTGGATTTTGGGAGAGAAGTGTATTATGTAGTGAAACTTTGTATTCATTTCATCTTCAGTTTCTTATTGATATTGTGTAGCATTATGCAAGTTCTTGTACTTACTGAGTTAAACAGCACCACTCCATACAAAAAATAACAATGAAACATCTTAGTTTGTGACTTGAATACTTTTGGTTCCAAGATTAATAGTGAGAATATTGCATTGGTCACATTGTTGACTGGATACATTTTCAGTAATTTGGACATTATTATTGTTATAAAAATTAAATCCGTGGCATAACAGCTCCAGAGAGCCAAAGTCGACTAGCTTGACTGCTGGCCTCACGTTCACATGCCTAAGAAGAGGTGAACGATCATCCAACCAGATATAGGGTGACGTGTGGTCAGCACGACGAACCCCCAGCCATTGCTAGCTTTCATGACCGGATTACGCTACTTATTGTAGCTCCCCAATTTCCTCACGATGCTGGGTTGGCACCGGTCACATACACAGGTCGAAAGTTCATGAAAAAATTTCTTCTCCCCCGAGACTTGAACTAGTGCACATTTCGTATCATCTTTTATAAAGTTGCACTCATCAAATTAAATAATTGTGGTGTGTGCATTTTTATTGCAGATTGAAATGTTGCATTATGATCTTTGCTCATGGGATATATTGACACTGGCACCAAAATAGTCAAAACAAACACCCTATTTTTAATGGTGAACGTAGAAAACGATTCTAGTAGTAATGTATTTGATCCATTGTTGCCAGGAATACTTGAATGCTGTTCTGCAGCATGGAAAGGACTTGAAAGAGTACCACAGAAACAACATTGCCAAGATCTTGAGACTAAATCGTGCAGTGTTAAACCATCATGCTAATGCAGAGCGTGAACAAAAGAAAGAACAGGAAAGGATTGAGAAGGAGAGGATGAGGAGACTCATGGCAGAGGATGAGGAAGGTTACAGGTATGGTGTTATTTATTTATTGGTTAATATGGTTAATTTTCATTCATATGCAGTCCACATATGATGTAACCCTTCATTTACAATTTCCTGGGATAGATGGAAAATGGTTCCAGTTGCAGAAAATGCAGAAATTATAAGCCTCATATTTATCTTAACTTTAACCCATAATTCTCATCAAATATTGCTTATAAATAACTAAGCAGTATGTGAACATTTTTACGGCAGAAACAGAAAATATGCAGTGTTATGCAGTGTCTTCTGTCAAATGCCATGAAGGTATGCAAGCAGTCGAAGTTGTTTTACCAAGGAAACATCAGCCCCATGTTTGTCACTGCTTGTGATGTGTTGAGGTTCTCTTCATAGGAAATTGTTTTTATTTTTTCTTATTCCCATCCCTTATCAAATATGCAAATTCAAATAAAATAACTGCATTGCGCACCGCAAATTTATCTGAACAGATTAAATAAATACAGTGAAACCTCTATCCATCGTTCCCCGAACTATCGTTTTCCCGGATGCATCGTCCGTTTTGTTCGTTCCCGTATACATCCCATATAAAATAATGTTACATTTTCCCGCTTCTATTGTTCCTCGAACTATCGTTTTATCGCATCAGTCGTTCAAAAATCTTAGTCCTGGCCCACAATTTTCCCGCAATGATCGTTTCTGAGAAATTATAACGAAATTTATGCGATATTTTTAGAATTTAAAATGCTGAATTTTGAAATAAATTAATACCGAAAGACGCACAATGTTTTTGGAATACACAGTAGTGGTAACCTGTTATGTAGCCCAACCAGCACAGATTCTTTTGGAATGAGGGGTCTGTGGTGCAGGGGTGATAGTTGGGAGTGAATGGCGGTGCTCATTGTCAGAAATTTTATGAGTTTAATTAGGGTGCACTCATATTTCGTTCCAACGATGCCAGATGGCATGTGCATTCACAAATGCTTTTATTATAAGTACAAAGGAAAGGTGGGCGACACTTTTCATTCTTCTAGTTCATCTCGTTTCCAATGGTTCAGTGCCTTCTACAGCTACGTTTCGTTGAGTTCGGCAGTAATAGTATTTCCATTCTTCCTGTTATTGTTCGCAAAGGGGTTGGGAGCGGTGAGGAAGAGGAAGACGACGAATGCGAGCCCGAAGCTGTGCCAGAGTTTTGCCGAAGCACATGCTACATTGGCAAAAGTGAAGTCATTCTTTTATGCGCATAATATTAGTGAACGTGACGAGGAAAACATTTTGAACGTGGAAAGGGCTCTGTTTGGCCTAAAACGTAAAGTTTCGACAAACCAGTTGTCCATCAAAGACTTTTTTGGTGAAAAGAAGTAAATTTGAAAGAGAAACATTCAGGGTTTTTTTTTTAATTTTTAATGCTTTCCCACAACTATCGTTTTGCCGTATTCATCGTTTTTATTTCCCACCCCCGCAAAAAACGATGCATCGAGGTTTCACTGTAATAGCTAACTTGAAAATAATCACATACTGAAAGCTGAAATTATATCCTTTGTAACTTTTCCCATCTTGATATATCTCCCTCTTGGGCATTTTTCTTTTACATCCATGTCTATAACCTTTGGAATTCTCTCCTCATTAATTCTGAAATCATATCTATGCTATCTTATTCTGTTATTTATTTTATTTTGTATGTTTAATTGTTCTCTTTAATATTTTAATTTATTATTCTGTCTTCTTTTGTTTTTTCTTATTTCTCATTTATGCTGTCACTAATTTACTAATATCTGCCTTGGTTCAAGTCCAAATTTTTTGCTCCATACATTAACATGGACATGTAGTAACTTTTAAATAGACATATTTTCCCTGAAGTATTCCCAGTTAAAATTCCACCATTTTAATGCTATTACAGTTCTGAACTTGTTTACCAGATTGCATTAAGGTATTTACCATTTAATTAAATTGGCTGTTGACAGTAACATGTATAACGTGATATAGGTGTGATTGTGTTGTCATGATCGCAATATTAACTTTAAGATCTTGATAGCAATGACATTTTTTAAGTAAGTTTTACAAAGGTTGAACACACATGAATGTGCAAAGTATGATTAATATAACTCATACATGGTTATTATCTTTTGTTAAACAGGAAGCTGATTGATCAGAAGAAAGACAAACGGCTTGCATTTTTGTTATCACAGACGGATGAATATATAGGCAATCTCACAGAAATGGTGAAGCAGCACAAAGTTGAGCAACGTCGTAAACAGCGTGAGCAAAAGGAGAGGAAGGCAGGTTACATTTGTGCTTGTATGATTTAATTTAAGTATTGTTTATATTGTACAGCATTGGCTTTGTGTGGTAATCCACAAAATGCATGTCCACATGTAAAGTGACTTTGCATTTGCTACACTTAAAAGTAGCACAGATTATTTTACCCTGAGCCATGCATATGCATTGTCTCAACTTCAAGTCTCTTATTTTGGCTAGTGGGAATTGTTTTCTAAACAAGATCCAAGCTATAATTCTTTTAATAGTCATGTGACTCCCTCAGGGTTAGTTTTAAGGACATGACTTGTTTTAGCAGCTCCATTTTTTGCAGTTTGTATTTATATTAATATAATATTTATTTCATATATGTGCTATAAATATTAATGTATTTTTAAGCTCTTACATTGTTTTAACTTTTATCTATGCTGTAGAAGAAGAAAAAGAAGAGATCAGAAGATGGTGAGATGATAGATGGGCTGAATGATGAAAGTTCACAGATGTCTGATGTGCGAGTCACAGTAATGGAAACAGCCAGTGGTAAGTGAAAGTGTGTACTCAGCTGCGATTATGTGCTCCAAACTGCTTTCAGCCCGTTTCTAAAAGTAACTGAAACGTAGTAAAGATAGATTGAATGCCGTGATGTCCTGATTTGTATTTTACAACAGATCTGGGCACATATTTAGTAGATAAAATCAATTAAATTTATCCAGTGGAAGAATTCTTTTGCAGAAGTGCTAAACAGAAGTGAAAGACAAATTCTGAATATAAATTAGTGTTGCAGTTTGAAAACTGTTTTTCATCAGACTCTCTGAGTGAATGCTGGATTAGTATCTGTGAGAAAGGCCAGTACCATCATAGTCCTTTCTAATTCATCGCAGTTACTCATCCCTTGTCATGCAGTATGACTAATATGTAATTATTTTTATAATTGTAGTAGTGTCTCTGCTACCTAGTACTGTTCAAGCAGTTATTTTCATTGTTTTCTTTATTAAAATGTATATTAGAAAATTACAGTCACTCACAATTATAATAATAAAATAATATTAAAAGGTTTAAAATATCATTTTAATACACTACTAGTTTCGGCTGTATTCAGCCATCGACGGGTGTATGCATTATAAACCTATCACCATTTTACTGATTTTTAACGTTATTCATATTTTCACTGTCTTCATTCTTGATGGTATTCATGTTCTTTACCGTTTCTTGTTTTGTTGCACTATCATTAGTCCTTACAAGGTTTATATTTTGTATTTTGTGTTGGCATCATTTTGTGACTGTGAATTAAAAGTTTTAATTCCATTAATGACAATTGAAAATAGAGAATATTGAATATAGAAAACAAAATAATTGGTAAAAATAAATAGTAATATAATAAAAAACCAAACATAAAAATAAACATGTAAACTCACCCAAGAAGCAATATCCCACTCGTAGTATGTGAACGGAGAATACTGGACTGTACAGGATTGGGGCTGGTAACTGTGAGTGACTGTAATTTTCTAATATACATTTTAATATACGGATCACAATATGACGCAATTACAATATTTTAATATTTCACTTAAGTGTATTATACAGGTAATCCATGATAATGTAATTCACATACTTACCACCTTCACACAACAGAACATAATTTATATCTGTGTTAGCAAAAATAAAATTGTTTGTAAGGATATGAACTGGATTCATGAAACATAGAACAGGGTCTAATGACAACTTCTTGCAGACACTGAAATAAACATCTAAGTTCCATAAAATGACTAGGTCAATGACAAAAAGCTTCTCAAGTACTCTGCTCCATGCAGCTACTTGGATATCTGTCAATAAGTATAACATTGTTGTACTTTTTACCGTCCACAAACCGAATACGGTGCATTCACAAGTAAAGACGAATAATTCCTGTTCAATTAGGTCCTTGAAAATTTCCTCAGCCTAGTGGTTCAGATCTGGAAGTGCAGGGATGTATTCACTTTAGTAGGCCCACTAAACATTACAGTTGAATAGTTAGTACTGCCCCCCCGCCCCCCTTAAAGGGGATTGCCAGAATTACTTTACTGAGGCCACGATCGTCCCAGGCCGGGGAGGTGGTACGGCTTCGGGGAGGCTAAAGCGGTGAAAAGTCAAAAGAAAACCAAATGAAACTACTTCGAATTATTATTATTAAGTGTTCTGTCTTACGACAGGTCCATTGCTCTGCCCAAACAGAGCTCTCCAGTTGTCCCTATTCTCGGCTTCTCGCTTTAATTCCTGGAACGTCATCTTCTTTCCTTGTTTAAGGTCGTCGGTTAGCTGTATCA